GCGCCCGGCGAGCGCGCGCTTCACCCCGTCGGCGTCGTCGGCGTGGAGGAAATACACGGGAAACCGCGCGGCGGCGAGGGCGTGCTGGAAGAACCGCTCATTCCCCGCATCGGCGGCGCAGAGCTCGACGAGGAGCCCGCGCACCCGGAGCTTGGCGAACCGGTGCAGCGCCTCCTTCGTGAGGTGCGCCGCGCAGGGGATGAAAAGGGTGCGATCGGCGTAGCCTTCCCAGCCCCGGCGCGGCGCGGCGTCGAAGATCTCGAGCTCGCCACGGAGGAGAAAATCCCGCGAATGCACGGGCACCCGCCCGGTGGCGAAGTCGCCGCCGCGAACGAAGGTGAGGGCGTGGGCAACGTCCACCGCCACAAGGGGCTCCGCCTCGCAAGAAGGGAGGGCGAGAACGAAAAGCAGCGAAAGGAGCACGCCAAGGAATCGTCCGGAGGGGAGGAGGGGAAGCATTGCGCTTTAATCCGTTCCGCGTGCGTTTGGCTGGAAAATCGGAGGATGAGCGAAGACGCACCACGAAAACGGAGGGTAGGAAATCGAAAAAAATGTGTCAAAGGTTGGGGTGATGAAGAGGGGGGGAGGGGGGGATAAAAAATCAGCCTTTCTAAGATCTGGAGAAAGGATCAGGCAGTGCTGGTGGTGTTTCTTTCTTTTTGATTTTTGAAGGGAATGGGAAAGAAAGGTTTGGGAAAAATAAAACACCAAAATATTTTCAGAAGGCGTATTTATGACGCAGCATACGTTGTACGCTAAAAAAGCCATGGATTTATTCAAGGCAACTCTTTCTATGATTACATCATGAAGTGAGTACGTGTGAGAAAAGTGTGTGTGGGGGGGGAGGGAGGTATATCCATCTCAAAAATAAAACCTGCATTCGTACTTCAATATGTTGAGGAAATCCCGCAGCGTGTCGGAAGATACACCCACACACGCGGCGATGATGGGGAGGATGTTACAACAACACGGGTGCTAATACAGGAAGCTTAAATCTCACATAATATGAGAATAAGCTACGATGTTTCTCATAATCAAGGAAGGAGAAAAAAAGAAGCGAAGGAGTGCCATAGCGATCCACTACAAGAGCGCGCGTAGTAGTCAATTGGACTATTTTCTCCACATGTTACGCCTACGAACGGATCTGAGCGGTGAGCATCTCCGTTATGCACCAAATTCCTAGAGATCGCTTACCCTCATGAATTTATTGTGGAGCTTTTTGATCGAAACTTTACTAAGAGGGGCGCATTTCTAACGGGATAATCAGAAAAAATGCTCATGGCCTACGCCTTCACACTCTTTTGCGAGTTCAGCTTGATACTTGTTATTTTCGGACTTTAGCCTTACTCAAGCTTTCGAAATCTACCTGAGACCTGAGTTTACAAAGTAGCAGAAATTATAAAGTGAACTAGCATACACACAAAAAAATAATTCATGAGTTAATCATTGCGGTATTCTTGCACCTCCGCCCACATGCTTCACAGTTTTTTTATACAGCATAGATATTCGCACCACCTATTTCCTCACACATCACTAAATATTAAAAAACAAACGCATTTAATCACCTAATTTATACGTTTGGAGTTAAGACATCGATTCAAATAAGGGCGTCCGATAAATTTAACATGCACTTTCGCAGCCTCGATGTCGCTCTTCCACCTAATTTCCTTTTTTCTTCTTGAGTAAGCGTCTTTATCGTAAGGAATTCAAGCACCAAAACTTCAGGATGCTCACCAATCGAAAAATGACCAACCATAATATGCATGTGTGAAGATAATGTGAGCGTACTTGACAACAATAAAAGCAATTAGAGGTTCATGTGAAGACTAAACGTCAGGAATATCCTTGCCGCCGCCAGGAAGGAGATCATGAGAGGCAGTTAAACCCTCATTAAGTCTTAATCCATATGAATATGCTTTTCTCAAAGGGGAAAAAAAGGAAAAATCTATTCTCATAGCAATGACATTATAAACAGACCCCACCAAAGTGATGAGCATAGGGCAAGGTAGGAGCCCCTTCCTCCCCCTTTTTTTTCTACATTCGCTGCTCACGAGTGGGCTTAGTGAAGATCGACGGCCGCTCTTTCAAGAAGTTGTCATTTCCACGTCTGCGCTTATTTCTTTTCGTCACCCATCAGTGATCACGAAGAGATGATGGGAATGGCAAGAGGGGGTGTATGTTTATGAAATTCGATAAGTAACGTTACCAGTAATAGTAGTAATAAGAGTAGGGTAAATCATCAATCATAATAACACCCTACGAGCTCTTTTCCTCACTCGCTGTTTTCCCGTCTGATTCGTTGTCCCTGTCTTCCTCCTCGCCCTCTTCCAATTCCTCCGGGATGTCTGGAAACTTAGGGTTCTTAGGATCGACTTCGATCATCGTATCCGCCGCTCGGCTTTTCTGCTTGGATAACTTGCCGTGGTAGGGGTGTGGTTCCATCATATACGGGTGGGGCGGCGAGGTGTTCGCGAAGGAGACGGCCTCGGAGCGGCAGAGCGCCTCGATCTCCTCCTGGGGGACGACCAACGCGCCGTTGTTCGCCGGGTTCAACTCCGTCGCCTCGTGAAAGTAGCGGGAGACGTGAAAGCCGCAGAACAGCACATCGCACCCGTACGTGGCGAAGTTGATCGCCTTTTGACTGAGCATCGGGCATCTCGCGAGGGTGGGGCTGAGATGGTCGATCGCCATGTTGATCTCCGCGGCCCTTTTGCCGTGTTTGTGCTCAAAAAGCCGTCGCCGCAGGCGTAGGAGTTCATCCACGAGCTGCTCGTATTGTTTGCACCACTCCTTCAGTTCGGGCGAGGCGGCTTCCTTGAAACGAGCGACCGCACGGCGGAATCTCGGCATCATATAATGCGTCACCCACTCCGAGAAGAAGAAAAGATTCGTAAACTGCCGCTGCGACGAAACAAAAACGCTGCCGACGAAGAGATCCTCAAGCGGTGGCATCGTCTTCGGGCCTTTCTCGATCGACTCACGCACCTCCATTTCTTTCATCACGCAGCGCTCGCAGACCGCGAAGAAGTTCATTCGCACGGCCTTGAGGTCGGGCTCCATCGGGAAGTTGTGGTAGCGCTCAGGGAGGCGCATGAGGTTGGTGGCCTCGAGAGGGCTATGGCCGAACGTCGTGAGCCCGAGCGCGCGGCAAAGTGAGCGTAAGGTGTGGTTGCGATCATACGGCAACGGCGCGCTGATCGCCTGATGAATTGTGAGGTTAAATGGGTATTCGACGAATCGGAAATGATGCCCAGGCCCCCCTGCCCGCTCCGCGAGCGCCATCAGGCGATAGAGGTTGATCGTTTCCACCTTTGGCGGGGGGGAGCGAAACTGCTCCGGCACCAACGCGTCGTCCGGGAGCGGGGGGTAGACCCTTGGGACCGGTGGTGCGAGGTGTGGGGAGCTGATGCCGTAAAACTGCACCCCCCCTAGCCGCACCTGGGCCTCGAGAAAGGCGAAAATCTGCAGAATGTCCTCGTCGACGTGGGCGTCGTCGCGGCCGTCGAAGAGGGTATGAAACCCCTCCAGGAGGACGACATCGATGCACTCGAGGCGGGTGTGGTGGGCGAGGTTGGTGAGGTAGGCCTCGATCCAATCCGGGGAGAGCCCCGCCGCGGTGGTGCGG